AAAAACAAATCAAAATGTTGCAACAACAGAATATATGCTTAGAAAGTTAATACCTTAAAATCCTTACTAAAACATCTTAAAAAAATAATATAAAAATCTAATAAAGCAAATTTATTTCAATATTGCAATAAAGATGAGAACTTTAATAATAATGTAGTAGACTTAAAAGTAAGTTAACAAAAATTTTGTGGCCAATAAATAAATTCTGTATCCTGGAGTCAAAATTGGTCAAATCCAGAAATTAAGAAAATATACTTTTATGGTGGGTAAAAAACCTTGAAAACGAGTCTTCGGAATAGTAATGTTCAATAGCGGGCCAAATCCATATTAACGCTTACAAATTGCTTATCAAAATCAGTGTAATGTTCAAATTTGGTCAAATCCTGACAATTTCAGTTTCAACATTGGGCAAGTCCATTTCGACCAATAGTAACTCGGGACTGGCTCACGTGACGATACCATTTTGAATCAGTTATCTGGTACTTGTTGTTGATTAACGATCACACGGAAGCTTTTTTTGCAATTTTGTGTTGAAAAACAAAGTTAATATTACTGAAATATGGATAATTTGATAGAGGAAACAACGCCAAACAAAAGTAGAAAAAGAGCAAAACGACGGGAAGATACTAAACGTGTAAAATTGCAAAGACAAAGGTAAGAAACTTTCCACTTTACAACTGTATACTAAAAGCAGGGCTGTACTCAAACTTGTTTATGGACATAATTTATTGCATTAAAACATTAGACTGATTTAGGTATATACTAAAACAGTGTAAACAGATATTTGTTTTTATGTTATGTTTGTTTTCGTTTTTTTTTCTTGATAGGTAGAAAATATTTGTGCTTCAGTAAGTGTAGCACTTGAAAAATCAAATTATTGCCGTTGAGATGACACAAACCAACTGACGTGAATAAGTAAGTAACAATCTTAACTTATTCACATCAGTTGGTTTGTGTCATCTCAACTGCAATAACCCCTTAAGTTATACGAGCAGAGAAGCCATGCTGCTTTTATGTTAAAATATAATCCATTAACATCGACATTGTGTCGCATTGTAACTATATAGAATAGTAATTAATTATGTAATTCTGACGACCATATATCAACTAGTTGGCTATAGTTTCACATACTTTTCAGAATGTCACTGAAGATGAACTGATAATTTCGAAAACGTCCTGATTTTGTTTTTTAATCCACTTGGATGACTTTTTAAAAGTTTTTAATAAATGTATACCATTTTACAAACGGAAGTTTTTTACTTCATTGTAAGTTGTTTAAAAAGTTGTTTAAACTGTGGTATACAGCCAACCACTGGGACTTTCCCTTTAATTTTTTTATAAAAATCATCTTTAAAATAATGTCTATTATGCTATAATAATGGAATCTCTCCGGTTTCAATTATTTATTCTATTTTTTTTTCTTACAGATACTCTGCCTCATCATTGCCAGAACAGATAACTTGTAAACACAATTCTAAGGCATACTCTTGTCAGAAGCTTACGATGCGCGATATAAAACAATTTCATGATGCTTTTTATGCACAAAAAACGAAAAGTTATCAAGACAATTTCATTGTTAAATATTGCAAGGCAATTCCAATTCAACGAAAACGTATTGTGAATGGACACGGTAATGAACGATTATTATCATTTACGTATTCTGTCAGAACTTGCGAAGCACAAATTATACCCGTATGCAGAAGTACATTTTTAAAAATACTTTTGATAAAGAAAGGGCGAATAAGGGGTGTCCTTCATCGTTATCATCGTACCGGAGAAATGCATACTGAAACTAGAGGTGGTGATAGAAAAACAACAAAGTTTCAAAGTATGAAAGGTAATATAATACAATTTATTAAAACTTTTAAATGTGTTGAATCTCATTACAATAGAGCAAAACTGATTCGAAAGTATTTACCTTCTGAACTCAATATCTCCAAAATGTATAGGATGTACAAAGAGTCATATCCAAACACTCTTTGTAAGCTCTCATATTTCTGTCATATATTCAATACAAAGTTTAATTTGGGATTTGGAAGTCCCAGAACAGATGTATGTTCTAAGTGTTTGGAGCTGGATGGAAAAATTAAGTCTGAGCAAAGTGCACAAGAAAAGACCAATTTAATTGTGGAAAAACGAGTCCATAAATTAAGGGCAAAAGCTTTTTATCAATTATTAAAAGAGAAGAAGCCGGATATGAAAACAATAACGTTTGACTGCCAGAAAAACCAAGTTCTTCCCAAAGTTCCAGACCAGTCTGCATATTACTCACGCCAATTATATATTTATAACTTTACCATTGTGGAAGGTAGTAGTAAAGACCACTTTAGTAAAGAAAATACTCATGTTTTCCACTGGACAGAAACCAACACAAAGAAGGTTCTAACGAGATAGCAAGCTGTGTTTATCACTTTTTAAAAAATGTTAATTTGCAGGGTATAAAAGTTTTGCGTCTTGCCTCTGACGGTTGTGGGGGGCAAAATAAAAATTCCATTATCTTAACAATGTGCATGAACTGGTTGAGTACAGAAGCTCCTGATGAAATTGACAAGATAGAGTTGATATTTCCAGTAACGGAGCATTCGTATCTTCCCCCTGACAGGGTGTTTGGAGTTATAGAAAAAAAATTAAAAAAGATGGAGACCATTATATCTCCAGACGAGTATGTGAAAGTTTTTCAAGAAACTGCGACAACGTACGATGTCACAAATATATCTATACTAGATTTTAAAGATATGGCGAAGTCTGCTCTTAAAAACACCCAAAATTTTCATTTCCAAATAACAAAATGTAAAAGATTTATTATTACACGTTCTCGCAAATCTGTATTGGTGTCTGGCGAAGAGTTTTATAAGTCCGATATTAGCAACGCTCGAAGTCTTTTAAAAAAAGGTGTAACATTATCTTCATTTACACCAAAAAGACTAACACCTGGAGTTTCAGTTAATGCTGCTAAAATTGCAGATGTTAAAAAGCTTTTAGAGAAACATTATGGAGCGGACTGGATTGATAGAGAAGTCGAAAACACAAAATTAGCATTTTATTTAAACATTATCAATGACACTACTTCGACAGAGGTCCTTGAAGAAGATGAACCTTGCTGCGATCACGATCAAAACGACGAAAGTATAAGAGTTTGATATTTATCATCTAAATGTTGATTTTTTTTAATTCAATAAATTTTTGTAATACAACTTTGCATTTATTTAATAATCCTACTAATGAATCTGAAAGTATGAGCATGATACCATAGTTTCAGAAATGACAGAATCCGTACCTGTTTACAGTGGCATTTTGTTTAGTTTCAGATTTAGGCAAATCCATTATTGTAATTTTCAAAAGGGGTCAAATCCTCTGACATCTAGTACAAAATTTTCAAAACTGGTCAAATCCAATCTATTAGTAGCATTTTCTGTGTATTAATGTATTCAAACGATAAAATCAATGTTGTTCTTTAACAAATTAAACTCCTATATTCGTATGAAAATATTAATGTATCACGAAATGCCAGTCTATTGTGTTTGTCACATAAACGTATTTATCTCCATTGTAGTAAAAATGGAGTTGACCAATTTTGAACCCAGGGTACAGAATTTATATACATAATTTTTTTCCCTAGAATGAAACTTTCAACCACAAGTAAAATTTTTATCTCTTAAATTAATTTTTCATTATCAAACCAGAAAAGGTAGGTATACTTTCAAATTAAACATTAATTTTTACAAAATTACTTTAATTTAAAAATATTCATTAATTCCTTTGCTAAATGATTTATCTTCCATATCTTTTACAAAATATTGCAGTTTTATGAAAATTCATCTAAAATTAGGTAATTTTAATAGGGCTTTTCGAAAAATCCAAACTAACGTTAGAGTTCTTGCCATATTGTGACGTCACTTGCGCAGAAGGTGTTTGTTTCAACGATTCGGTTCAAGGCGTGTTTATAAGTTTTAATGGTCTAAGTGATAAATCATCAAAATTTTTATTTTAAAAAATACCTTTATAAAAGGTATATTACTTTATAAAACCTATCGGGATACATCACAGAAAGTTTTCGAGTTTAACTATTTCATCATCAGTGCTATCTAGATTTACATGTTTGCAGCCACTAAATACATGGTTAAAAACCCTTAAGATGTAGTTGAATTAATTTTAAATTACATCTTTGATGTTAAAAACTAGGATGTTCAAGTTATAAATGGAATTAGCCACATGGTATTCATTATGATTGCTAGCCCTTAGACGAAGGATTTGTGAGTACTTAAGTTCAAACAAATACAGACACTGACACTTCTTCTAAGGGCTAGCTACCCCAGTCGAATCCTATGTTACTATGTAGCTTATTCCGTTTATAACTTAAAAATCCTAGTTTTTTACAATCAAAGATGTACCTAATTCAAAGTTAACCTAACTACATTTAAAGCGTTTTACCTATGTATTTAGTGGCTTCAAACATATAAATATAGATAGCAGTAATGATGGAATAGTTATTCCTGAAACGTTCTGTGATGTAGCCTGATTGGGTTTTTAAATTAATATTCCTTTTGTAATTAAATTTGTTTTTATCCTTTTTAATTTTGCTAATAATTCGTTTTTATATGATAATTTTTTTTTCTCCAAATGACACTATTAATTTCTGTGTTTTAAGTGCTATCTTCCTCTCCAGCTGACTCTAAGATGGACCCTGGTTATCTCCGAAAACTATGGTATGTTATCGTCGTTTTAGTACATGTGTCATTGTCATGTGGGATATGTATTAAGAAAGCTTATTGATAGAATTTAGTGACAAAAGATCTCGAAGACACAAGAGAAATATTGCTCATCGCTTACTAAATTTTCGTTTATTGACCGTTTTAAAATTGGATACAATTCTTCTCGAAACCGCTTTACGTTAATATTTTAGTTTAAATGCAACAAAATATTCATTCGTAAATGTAACTTAAGTAAATATTTTTAATGTAAAAAACATTTTTGATAAGAAATAAAAATCAAATACTTACCTAAATAATCATATGTAATTTCGGGTTTATATCTGTTGTAAACAAGTAAATAGGAAAGCAGAGCGCATTTGAATAGAGCCGCTGTATTCAAAAGTTTAATTAAATGCGACAATGGACAGGCAAATGCGAGGATTGCTGATAAACTTCCTGAAATAAACAAATAGAGAATTAGATCAGCTACAATTTATTCTATTAATCTGGACGTTTCATTGATTCAAATTAAAAGCTTTGATTTATTTGGTCGTGTACAAACATTTAATTGTAACCGTTTGTTAAAAAAAATATTTAGATTGATAACTGCCGGTAAAACCATTGTGTTCATTAAAAATAAAAATAATGATTACAGTGGAAAATTTTAAAGTCTACTATATGATTTGAAATATACGACTAATAACTTCAATAATTGTGACAACATACTAAAAGATCAAGACATTGAATTTCTGTCGATATGTTAAAATTAATTTAAAGAATTAATGATGAGTTTTGATGTTCTAGAAGGCCACGAAGGCACAGAGTATGTATCACAGAGGTCAGAGATTCAAATTGCTGGGGAACTACTTGAAATGTTAAGCTATGATTTGTTAGAACAGTGAGCGACGCATAACTCACAGTCAGTCGAATGCCGCGTACGTTCGTCAAAATCAAAGGAATGGATCTCTATGGTAACGGTTTGTTAGGTTCTTCTGAGCTAAGCGCACTGCAGAGTGACAGCCGTGTACGTCGACGGTATGCGCTGTAATCAACTACGATTTGATTTTTGGACGCAAACGTTCAGCTTAACTCACAGCGTACACATCTATACCAAACTATAATTGTATTTTTATATAGTTATTATTATTGTAATAGTTCTAATTAGGTGTATAATTATTAGTAATTATCAGGTGATGTCTTCTTTTGATAAGTTTTTTAGTAATATCATCCTTTATAATTTGTAAGAGTTTTAAATAAATCCCTGGAAAGTCTAAAATATCCTCAAAATTTTTCCTCGTTTTAAAACAATCTTCTTTCGACAAGCACCTTCTGTATTAAGTGTGCGAGAAGGTATTTTGCTAAAAGAGAACAAACTTGGAACTAATTTTTAAACTTCAGCGCAACAGAATCTATGTATGCCATACAACTCTAACAAACCGACTCACTCAAAACTGCCGTGAGCCGTGAGTCGGCAAGAAGGGCGAATAAAGCTGGAAAGGATCGACTTTTACAACTATGGGTCGTCAAAAATCGTCATAGAAGTATTGCCCAAACACTACAAAATGACTTGGTAAAAGCTACATATATAAGAGTAAATAGTCAAACTATACGTAATCGGCTTTACGAACACAAATTAAATGCAATAAGGCCAGCTAGAGTACCTTCTTTGACCCCTGTACACCGTAGAGCCAGACGTTTGTTTGCAGACAAACACATGGATTGGACCACGGCGCAATAGCGTAATGTGATGTTTAAAGACGAGTCCAGATATTTTTAGATCATGCTTATGGACGTGTTAGAGTCTGGAGAAGACCAGGGTAGCGCTTTTTGGATTCCACAATTCAAGAAACTGAGGGTTTTGGCAGAGGTTCAATTATGGTTTTAGGTGGAATAACTTCAAATAATTTCATTTGGTAAAAATATAGGTCTAGAGTTCATCACCCAGGAAGATGATGAGACCGCACGTGGTCAGAATAGTGCAAACTTATATTTGACTGTTCACAATATTGAACACATTTAGGATACACTCGGCAAGCGCTTGAAGGATCGTCAGCTATTAATAAACGTACAAAATACCGAAAAGGTTCTTGGGGGAGAATTGGAATAACTTGTAGGTCAAGAAACTATTCAAAATGTTATTGAAAGCATACCAGGACGTCGTCCAGAATTTGGTCGAGTTAGAGGAGCCTATACATGCTATTAGTTTTGTTTCAAAATAATTTTAACAGCGCTGTGATTAAAAAGATAAATCAAATTTCTTAAATTTATTACTTTTTATTTTTTGTTCCACAAGAAAATTTACAGTTCAGTTATAAAAACTTTCCTATCTTTATAGCAAAAAGCCTGAGATTAAATAAAACTATATAGTCATAAAATACAAAAAAGAGTTGAAAACTACGAACACACATAAGTGGCTTTTTTTGTTTTGATCAGTATATATATATATATATATATATATATATATATATATATATATATATATATATATATATATATGAAAATGAAAATTACTAAATTTTCAGGAAGAACCGCGTTGAGAATTTTGAGAATTTCAAACTCAACGTTATGACACCCATTTTGGAGCCATTATTAAGAGTGATACGATTCCGTTCGAGTTCGGGGTCTCAATCTGTCTATTCCCCATACTCATGATGTACCAGTCAGTTTCGACTGTCGAGAGACTTTTGTAAAAATCTAGAAATGTACCCAAATGTTTTATGCGTATTTGGCCAAAATTTAATTGTGGCAGTTATGATGAATGACACTGTCGGCTATAAAAACAACTAATATTTCTGAAATCAAATGCACAAAAGTTCACATATAAACAACAGACAATTGGAAATTAAAAAAATAGACCCACGTACATTTCCTTATTAGAACCATTTTAACAGTTGCCAGTTGCCTGCTAGTCAAATCTAAACATTGCTACTATAATAGAACTAGACAAATCAAAATTTGTTGAGTATATTGTGTTTTAGCATATATTTAAGTATTTTGTTACTTTCCAATAAGAAAGTCATTGTTTATATTCTGGTGTACATGTATTATAATTTGTTTAGCTTTAATTTTGATCTTTACATATACATATTTTATAATATTTTGGGTACATACAATAAAAATTCTTTTATTCATGACTTAATATGGTTATTAAAACTATTATAACCTTAAGATGAAACGCATATAATTATTAAAAGTGAAACTGGAACAAACCATGAAGTGGAGATATCCAGGAGTGGCTAGTATACCTGTTGAATACAAAGCACGTGGTGTTCGTGTGTATTAAGGTATAAAAAAACGATTATTAAAAGCTTAAAATTTTTTATTATAAAGAAGATCTTTTCGGAATTGTATCATTCCATCATCAGTTTAATAAAAAGTTGTTAAAAAACATTGCAGTTAGCCCTAGACTCCAACACAGATCAGAGGTAATATAAGTTAATAAAACCTCACCAACTACAGGGGGTCATATAAGATGCCCCCAGTTTCATTTTTTTATATTACACAAGTCAAGAGTCTATTGCATTTACCTGAATAAATAACATGAAGATTATTATTTTTTAAATCCAGATGTCCATCGAATCTTTTTATGTGGCTACACAATGTTTTTTAACAACTTTTTATTAAACTGATGATGGAATGATACAATTCCGAAAAGATCTTCTTTATAATAAAAAATTTTAAGCTTTTAATAAGCGCTTTTTTTATACCTTAATACACACGAACACCACGTGCTTTGCATATAATTATCTTACAACGAAATTATAATCAATCATTTTATTTAATACTTCTTAAAAAAATGTAGAACCTTTTGTTCATTGAAGTCCAACTGAATACTAACTTTTCTTTGCAACAATCAAAATAACACCTTTTATAATATGTTCTGAGTTTGTTTATGTTGTTAATTGTTGTTAAATGTTGATTTGTATGGCCTTTCTCAAAAAACTTTGTTTAAAAGGCCATAAGAAAACTTTGCATAGGTGTAATAATAGAAAATATTACTTAAATATTCAGTAGGAAATAGGATTTCAGTATGTCTACTTGTTGTTCTATCATAAAAACTCAAAGAAATTAAATTATTTCTTTTATTCTGTATTTTTAAGCCATTGTTGTAATTTTGCAATTCACAGTAATTATTTTGTTACTGATGTTTGATTTTACATCTATACTGCTTGGCATAAGTTAGGGGTATTGCCAATTTAATGGTAATGATATTTTACTCTGCATCAATTATTTGATGGAGTTAAGTCAACAATTAAAAATTATTATAGTTTTGAAGAAACATGAAAATTTGGGACTTTATAAAGATAATGACACCAAAAAATCCTTCTAAGTATGTGCAAAGCATCTGTACAGCCATTTGAAAATGACGTTTTTGCTCTCAAAAGGGATAAACAAATGCAGGGTGTTTCAAAAAGGTATGTCATAAATTAAATTACGCATTTCGGGAACAAAAATAAATTTATTGAATTTAACTTACCTTAGTACAAAAGTATACACAAAAAAATTACAGCCCTTTGAAGTCACAAAATAAAAATTGTTTTTTTTTGCATTATCTCCTAAGCTACTTGACATTTTGTAATAAAAATGAACACGGTACTTTCTTGTTCTGAAAGCATTTTTCATAAAAAGGAAACAACAAAATCTAAAGCGATTTTTTATTAGAACAGTGAGCGACGCATAACTCACAGTAAGTCCAACGTCGCGCACGTTCGTTAACATCACAGGAATGGTTCTCTATGATAACGGTATGTTAGGTTCTGCTGAGCTGAGCGCACTGCAGAGCGATGTAGAGCCGTGTACGTCGACGGTGTGAGCTGGAATCAACTGCGATTTGATTATGACGCAAACGTTCAGCTGAACTCACAGCGTACGCATATATATCGAAATATAGTTGTATTTTTATATATGTATTATTAGTGTAATAGTTATAATTAGGTGTATAATTAATGGTCATAATTAGGTGATGTCTTATTTTGTAGGTTTTTGTAGTAATATCATCCCTTATAATTTGTAAGAGTTCCAAATAAATCACTGGAAAGTCTAAAATATTCTTAAAAGGTTTCCTCGTTTTAAAACAATCTTCTTTCGACAAGCAGCTTCTGTATTATGACGTGAAAAAATTTCGTTTACATTTTTATTTACTTTATTCAGATCTGACATTATCAATTCTTTTTCTTTCTTCCTAGAGAATTAACATATTGCATTAAGTTTGCGAAAAGTCATTTGTCTAAACGTACAACCTTTAAGAGAACAAACTTGGAACTAAGTTTTAAACTTCAGTCCCACAGAAGATATGTATACCATACGACTCTAACAAACCGACTCACCCAAAACTGCCGTGAGTCGAGTACAACAGATTCTGCTGTACGCGTATGCCGTGCGCTGAGCACTGTTCCAACAAACCGTAGCTTAAGCGCACAGAAAAATTTTAACGAGGGTGTGCAGCCTTAAATGCCCCCAAACTTTTAAGTACGTTTAAATTAAATAAATTTTATGAAATCATTAGTTTAACACATTATTTTTATTTTGTTTTTGCCTCTTACCACTTTTTTCAAAAAACAATTTTTAATTGAGTTACGGCCTTTTTCTTTACCCTTTAAAAATTACGTGCAACTAAATAAATGGCTAAATGAATTAACAAGTACAAAAAATGTCTATAACCTCTATAAATATGATATTACAAGAAATGTTCAAAATGAACCACATTTCCTTAAATACACATTCGGTATCGTTTTAATAAGGAAAACAGAATGCGCTGAAAAATCATATTTTTCTGACGAAATTGATTTGCAGCTTTAATTATTCTAACTCTCAATTGTTTGTCCTCTATTGTTACAGATTACATATTCTCTTTCGTACACCCCCAAAAGCAAAAGTCCATGGGGTTAAGACCTGGACTTCTGGGTGGCCAAGAAATAGGTGCGTCACTACCCCTTCCAATCCACCGATCAGGATACTGCCTGCAAAGGTATTCCCGGACTTCATTACTTTAATGCGGTGGAGCGCCATCTTGTAGAAACCACATATAAATACTCTTGTAAATCGTTTGCCAAGAACTGCAAATAATTATCACCTTTTAAACTCTTGGGAAGAAATACTAGGCCTATTAGATTGTTATCCACAATTCCTGCCTAAACATAAATTTGAAAGTCTTTTGGCGATGAGTCGTTTTCTTGGCGTGAGGATTTTCGTCGGCCCAAATGTGCCCGTTATGATCGTTTGTAATTCCATTTTTACTAAAGGTAGCCTCGTCGGTAAACAAAATATTTCTAATAAAATTAACATTTCGAGTATTTTCCATTAACAACCAATCACAAAATCCAATCATTTTAGGATAATCTTCAACCAATAACTCTTGAACCGGTGTTAAGTGAAGAGGTTTAAGCAGCTGATCCTTCCAGGAACTTCTTTAATGATTTCTAAAATGTCTTCATCAGTTGCATCCATTATTGGACGACCACTGTTGCCAGCAACTTGCAGTTAGAATGCACCCGTTTCCCGTAAACGCCTTGCGGGTGCTGCACTATTTCCGTGACATTCACCTACGATATTCTCGATAGTTTATTCAAATCATAATTGAATCTGATCCGATTTACCCAAAGTTAAATGCATATCTACCATTCCCTGAAATGTGTACGTATAATTATTGATGGAACTGTTTGTAATTATTGTATCCATAGAAACTAATTGTAATTTTGTCCCCAACTAGGAAAAAACTAGTTTTTCGAAAAAGTGCTGAGGCAAAAAGTTTTAAAAATATTGTGTTAACTAATGATGCCACAAAATTCATTGATTTAAATGTATTCAAAAGTTTGGGGAGATTTAGGGCTGCACAGTTGCACACACCCCTTAAAATTTTTCTACGCACTTAGAATTTCTACCATTCCCTGAAATGTGTACGTATAATTATTGATGGATCTGTTTGTAATTATTGTATCCATAGAAACTAATTGTAATTTTATGGCCAACTAGGAAAAAACTAGTTTTTCGAAAAAGTGCTGAGGCAAAAAGTTTTAAAAATATTGTGTTAACTAATGATGCCACAAAATTCATTGATTTAAATGTATTCAAAAGTTTGGGGAGATTTAGGGCTGCACAGTTGCACACACCCCTTAAAATTTTTCTACGCACTTAGAATTTGTTGTTTCTTTTGTATAAAAAATGTTTTCAGAACAAGAAAGTAACGTGTCCATTTTTGTTACAAAATGTCAAAGTAGTTTGGTTAATACTGCAAAAAAAAATTATTTTGTAACTTCAAAGGGCTGTAACTTTTTTTTGTGTACACTTTTGTACTAAGGTAAGTTGGATTTAATCAATTTATGTTTGTCCCCGGAATGTGTGATTTAATTTATTACTTACCTTTTTGAAACACCCTGTATAACTTTATAAAAACTACTTGACCGAATGTGCCCAACTTTTTTGTTTATAAACATTTTTAAATTAAGAAAATCTCATTTTAAAGAGCAAATCTTTTTAAGAAAGTCCTTTTTTGAACTTTTTTCCTTAGAATACGTAGGTTTTTCACAATATTGAAATGAATGAAAAAAGTCGCTTTTTTTTGCTTAAATGTCTTTAAGGTATATCTCTAACTTATATCTCGCAGTTTATATTAAATATTCGTTTACACTGGCTATTCGTTAATAAATATTTGTTAAAAATATAGGCCCTAGCCAACAATGAGTATGCCAAAATATTATGTCACGAGATTCAAAATTTAATTTGCTTGGCTGCATCTTCTCCTCATTTCTTGAGCTCTTTTGAGGGCTCACAGTGGTGACACTCTAAATATTGTTAGCTTGCTGTCTCCATTAGCTGCAATCATGTGCCATATAGCCGGCTTCATGTTTGGATTACTTCCACCAGAGTTTTTATTTGGTCTGCCCATTATGTTAGATGGTCTTCGGCCACCTCTTGGTCTTCGACCTTCTACCTTTTCTTTTAATACCATACTTTTATAGTCCCTGTTCTTTTAGCTATTTAGCCGAAGTAAATTAGGTATGATCGGTTAATTTTTTTAATAGACTTTCTTTTATATGACGCTCTTCCAGAATTAACAGGTTAATTCTATAATTCTGTGTAGGATACGCGTAGAATTCTTCTATAGACCCTTATTTCAAAGGCTTTAATCTTACTCCTATCGATTTTTTTGAGAGAGTATGTTTCATCTGCGTATGTAGCAATGGGGAAGTAAGGGCTTTGACCAACCTTCTCTTAGTATTTTATGTTATTGTTCGGTCTTTTTAAATTAATTTAGCTGTTGCGGTTAAGGCCATTGCTAGTCTACACTTGATTTCTGAGAAGCAATCTCCATTGTTGGTTATCAGGGACAAATCTATCTTCCATTTCGAAATTCTCCACTTAATGTATGTGCGATAGATTATTATTTGCCCTATCTACTATCATTATTTTAGTTCTTTCCTTATCCGGCTTAGCCAATCAGTAATTGTAAACATTTTGACTTTATTGGCTGCTAGTATAAGTAAAATATGCGTATCGCTTGTTACTGATTTATCTGCCACGTATAGTGATTCCTCTCCGCCCATCCGTCTAGTACTTGTCTTATTATAAATTCAGAATATATGTTGTATAACAATGGTGATAGTATGCAGTCCCCTCTAGCTCCTTTCTTTGTTTTGATCGCATCTGAATATATTGCGTGTATTTTAACTTTTTCTACTGAAAATAAGCTGGGTCGACAGAGTTAGAAATCAGGAGATCCTTAGACGGCTGTGCCAAACAACACAACTGGTCAATATAATAAAGAAACGCAAGTTGGAGTACTTCGGTCACATTATGAGACACCCTGAAAAATACGATCTTTTACATCTGATCATTCAGGGAAAGATCCAAGGTAATCGTGGTCCTGGTAGACGAAGAACATCATGGCTGAAAAATCTAAGGCAACGGTATGGAAAATCAACTACATCGTTATTTAGAGCTGCTGTCAATAAAGTCGTCATAGCGAATATGGTAGCCAACATGATATCCAGCGATCGATAACGGTTATGGAACTAAAAGAAGAAGAATTTTAACTTTGTTCAAGTTTTTATTACCCAGATTTCTTATTAGGGTAACTCTGTGATCGTGTACTTCCAGCAATGCTACTACCGATCATTAGAAATAAGCCATTCCATTGATTCCTTTTAAATGTTTTCCAATTGTTTTATATTTTATACAATAACAAATATTCTGGGGAGTCAAACACCGAAACATTTTAATTGAAATATTTTTATATTTAATTAAGACAAATTAATCTTACCTGCTGCAAATATTGCTAAAATAGGTGCACCAGTCATAGAAGTTCTATATTGAATTGAGGGCACAAATATTCTCCACTCTTTACTGGCCAATTTTACAAATGAGTTGTAGACAGACGGCAGAATTTCGGTTAATATAAGACAAACTACAAAAATTGTACTAGCAGCCATAATTGGTCGAGCCCAATCCACGTCACGACTTTCGAATACTTGAACCAAGGGAATTGCTCTACCAATTAATTCTCTAAAAATGTATCAAATTAATTTCATCTATTTGGTTGATTATATTTTTGTTTAATAATTATAAATTTATATTACACTCATGAACAAAATGACGTATTTTGGAATTATCATAAATATGTTCAATATGATGGATTTCTGTTACCAAAATACTTTTTTTCTAAAAAAAAAAACATTGTTTAACACGCTATAGGTAAATGATTAATAAAATAAAATTTTTGAAATGTAAATAAACAAAAACTGAAATTAAATATTAGTTACGAAGTCGTATTTTTATGTTGTGTTTAAAAGAACAATAAAATTAATAACGAGTATTTTACCCTCAATCGTTGGCTACTGCTTGTATCCTTCTTGAATGCTCCAAATCAACTCTTAAATATATGCTTGCATTCTATTCTTCTTGTGCTGTAATCGTAGCTTTTTTAAAGTCGGAAAACGGATATCTTTTCCTGACAAGGAAAAGGGAATGGAAGTGCAGGCAATAGCATATGTGGACAACCTGGTAGTGCTGGTATAGTACAACGAAAACTAGCCAACTATGCGTACAGGGAACCGATCCCTCAATAAACTGCTTCTATGATCATCAAAGGTCCATATAGTTTTTGACTTAAGGGGAAAATGACTATACCTGCCAAAATAATGAGAGTACTTAGTAGTAGTTGTAAATACAAGACAAACTTTTAAAGATCACGTTAGATACGTCATTGGCTGTTCTTAATATCAAAAATACAGGAAAATGCTGGAGAAGTCAAAAAAAGCACTACTTAGCGTAAATACATGCCATCAACGGTGTCCGTACAATTGATCACGGGTGTGTTATTAATTCATATACTGATAAGAAAAAAGACAGAAACCTATAGAAAGGATGAGCAGACTCTACAGTGGTTAATACGGGGGTTATTATGACTACTCAGTATATTAGTTCGAAATTTTCGACAAGGACAAAATCATGTACACAGAAAGGTAGGTTGAGTAAGTAAAAATAGCAAAATGCAGGTAAAAATGAGCAGAAAAATCAAATACACAGTAATACTGGAGGCGGTATGTGATGCATCAGTCTGTATAGAACCTTGCATGAGTAGTCCGGACGAATGATTAGACTTAAGTTGGTAGGCGGGTATACATCCGTGGGCAGGATTTCTCTGGGATACTACTTGCTAATAAACCGTTCTATTCTGAATCCAAAGGGACACGGCGTAGTAGGATCTTTCGAAGATTTACCACATTCTCCCATCAACAACAACTTCCTTTGCATATCCTTTTATTTACATCAGAAGCAAGATTTAAATTTTGCGACGATGTAGCCGCAGAGCTTCCTTTTTGAACCTCTACTACTTTGTCTGTTCTGGATTATCGTAAAAGATAAAATCTCTTTTTAGCCGAAATATACATCATATGATTATTTAAATATTCAACGTATGTTCGTTATGTTCATTTAAATGTATTTGTAGTTAAATATATTTGTATTTTGTAGAAATTGTAGAATTTTGTAGAATATTGTAGAATTTTTTATTCAAAGCAATATTTAGATGCGTTAAAATTTATATAGGGAGGCAATAGTTTTGCATTTTATAATTAAATTTTTATATTTCTATTTATTAACTTATTGAGTTATTAAATGTATATAAAAATTTTAAAAATATTAATATTTTCTTAAAACTAGTTATTAATGTTAATGCCACTACAGTCTTTTTAACATCATCATCACCATTGGCTCTACATCGTAGGTTCGGCTTTGGCCTATTCAATAAATTCTTCCATTGAAGTAAAAAATAAGTAAAATGACCGACCTTTTTTTGAAATAATACTAGTTCCGATTCGTTTTTTTTTTTTCAGTTTGTCAGTACCCATGTTTGTGTATTGTAGGTATTCATTCTATGCCTGTTTTGCTACATAGATTTCATTCTCCGTTATGGTAATTTGGGTGGTTTCCTGGCTACTGATTACTGGTATATATTGGATTTTATCAAAATTCGCATTTCATATCAGAAGTCCCTTCTTGGCGGCCAATCTTTCTAGATAAGAGAATGACCACTGCATTTGCCGTTGCGTGCTACCTATAATTCTTTAAATCATCTGCATGTAATATAATTTGTACAGTTTTGTTACCTGTTGGTCTCCTCGTCTAAGGTCGATGATTGCCGAAGGCAACTACTTCAATAATTCCCTTGGACTTTTACAATACATTCACTATTTACTACTATTTATAATAGTATCTTTGACTAGTTCTACCATTTGCTTTGTATGTCAAAGCTTATCATTTCTCTTTATAGTTTGTTTGCTATGACTTATATCGTATTTTTCTAGCACTTCCAGGATTCAAGTTAAAATAATATTATTATCAAATATCTATGACATAAGTTCCTTTATAATCAAAAATACTTTAAAGACAAACGAACTTTACTTACTTGTGGTGAGTCATCATAGAAAAAATTATTGCAGTTGATGTGTAGAATAATAAGGGAGTAAAAATTATTGCAGACATTTTTATCCAATTATTGTTGTGTATTTTGGGAAAGATATGTACAAACGCAAAGAAGATTTTAGCGGCTGCTCTTAAAACCTAAAATATATAAGAATTATTATAAACTTTGTAGAACTTACTTGCTGGTACAAGTCAATAATTTCATACAAGATGGTACATATATAACAATTTTTATACTTGTGTATTATATAAGACTAGACCCGTCGCATAAGGTGGTCAAATTTACGGATTTTTAGCAATTTTTAAAAAAATATTTAATTCAGATTTCTTTGTTCAGATGGCGTTAGGATTGTATATCTAAACCAACATAAACCTTTAAATTATTTTGTATTAAATTCTACCTTAAAAATATTATTAAAATTAATTAATAATTATATTAATATGTAATTAATACAGTATTTAGAATAGAATAGAATAGAAATATGCTTTATTGTCACTGAAAATTATTGAACAATTTTATGGACAAAGCTAAAAAATAAATCAGTCAAATAGTACAAAAAGTATAAAACAAAAACAAATATAGTAAAAAACAGAATAACACAATTTTAAATTAGTAAAATTATTGTATAACCTGCATAATTTGTACAGACAACAACAAATGAGACAAATTGTAGCCACTGCTTGAGACACCCTAATGTAATTATAAACAATACTAATTTTGTTTCTTTGTTATACACTAAGAAACTCGTCAACTGAATAATATGGTCTTTCTGAGAGATAGATTTTAGTCACCTTACGAAACTTAATGAAGGATGTTGCGGATTTAATTTCTCTTGGAAGGTGATTATAAAGTTTCTTTGCACGATATAGAATAGAATTCTTTACTAGCTGAGTGGACGGGATCGGCAAATAAACGTTACAATCCGAATTTCTAATGGAGTAGCCATGATCAGGTCTATCGGGAAAAATGTTTAGATGCTTTCGAATCAAACAAACCGTTTCCAAAATAAATAAAGAGGGAAGCGTCAAAATTACGTGATTTTTTAAGTAGGTCTTGCAATGAGTTGTTTGTTTGAGACCAAATAGATAACGGATTGCTCTTTTTTGCAACTTAAAAATAGTATCAAATTGGGCCGCTGTACTAGAACCCCAAAATGGAAGCCCATATCGAAGATGGGACTCGAACAATGAGAAATATGCCATTTTGGCACAAGATAAATTTAGTTCCTTCGAAACAGATCTTATTGCAAAGCAAGCTGAGGCTAGTTTCTTCCTTAAGGAGTCAGTATGCAAGGACCATTTGAGATCACTGTAAATGAGAATACCTAGAAATTTCACGGAATTTACGATATTGATTTGGCTCTCATTCAAAAGCAAGGGTTGCATGACTCCTTTATAAGATAATGCTACAGTCTTATCCACGTTAAAGCTAAGTAAGTTGGAGTCTGACCAAGCCTTGATTAAGTAAATCAGCGATTTTAATTGAATGAAGCGTTGAAATATCAGAGCTGCTCCAAGTAATACTGGTATCATCAGCAAATAGAAACATTTTCCCTTTAATTTTCAAGTAAGTGATGTCATTAATGAAAAGTAAAAAAAGAATGGGACCTAATACTGAACCTTGCGGTACTCCACACTCAATATCTTTACAACTAGAGTCGGTGTCATTTATTCTAACCAATTGTTTCCTACCTACCAAGTAAGTTTTGAAACAGTTCAAAGACACACCCCGAATTCCATAGAAAGTTAATTTTTTTAATAGAATGTCGTGATTTACGCAGTCAAAGGCTTTGGAATAGTCGCAGAAAACAGTGGCGGAGGAGAGGTTACTGTTTAGTGATAGATATACATCATGTAACACAGAAAATATGGCATCACTAGTGCATTTATTAGACAAAAATTAATTTTTTTTACGTTTAATTATTAATACGTTTTATTATTATACGTTTAATGATTAATTATACGTATCATTTCAGCTATTTTGTTGAAAACGATTAAAAAAATTCAAAACAATTTCGGCCCTTTGTTCGGGCCAAAATAATTGTTACAATTTTTGTTAAAAAAATTGTTTAACAAAATTGAACAAATTTTTGCCTGGGCGACATCTTGTACTTTGAAATTTGGAAATTTTGGAACCCGAGCTTCTTGGCTTGTCTATAACCTAATGAATGCATTACATCATACTAACTAAAATATGCATGATATTACCAGCAGAAGATAGTTTGTATTTATAAATTATTTACCAAATTTAATGAAAAATATTTAATTGAATTATAAAAACAAAAATGAGAATCAATAATTTCTTTTGCGAAATATAATTTCGTAAAATTAAAATACAATATTCAATCTATTGTTAATATTTTAGCATATTTCTTCCCAAACATCCTTAATTAATTTCACCAATCAGTTTACTACGATTTCCTCACTTGAAAATATTACAATATGATGACCATAGACTCAAACAACATTTTACAAGTTTTCAAGCCATTACCGCCTTAATAAATATAAACTTAAAAACACTCATGTTTCTAATCCGTAGATCCCTTGAATTGATTTTATGTCATACTAGTTTATTATCGTGTTTTTATTGCTTAGTTACAAACTACGTGATAGTGTACTTTATGCCCGCGCGGACATAAAGTGTCATTATGGCCCGCACTATTTTCTCTAGACAAGATTCTAGCGTTTTTTAGGCTAGTAGCCATTCGAGCCTTGCTTCAAAGATTCGGTCAATTTATGGTAATTGACAATGTTAATATTCTTATTTACGATTAACGTCTTCTTTACCATTGAATATACCCTGGACCACAGGGATCTCGAAGAAAATGTTTCGGCGAGATCGGCAAAGTATACAAGTAGCACAGTATTAGGGTAAAGTGTGCAAATCGCGGTCACCTAAGAAGAAAATTTAATATAAAAAAAAGTAAAACTCTGTGAATCAAATTTAAGCCGTCAATCCGTAATTTGGGGTTTTAACTTATTGCAAGATACATTTAATTATATTACTCAGCATAAATTATTACTCAGAATAAAAATGAATTAAGACCTTATATTACTCAGCATAAAAATAAGATCGAAAACACTGAAAACAGGTTAATAATATTTCTATTACCATTACCCACTGACCGGTATTTGTACAGTTTACCCTACTAATGTGTTCTACATGGTTTTCTGTTATCCAGTGCTGTAATTTTTCATATTCCTTATTGTAGGCATCTCTCGACTTATGTATTAGTAATTTTGAGTTGCTCTTTCTGCTTTTTTTTTAAATTTGGTTAGGGATCTCAAAAAATCTTGCATTTTCACGGTTTTAGTTTGACACGTTTGACGGCATTTCCGTAGCTTAACAACATAATACAGACGATATAATGTATACTAGTAAATATATTGTTAAAATGGTATGAAATTTTTGGATTTTTTTATTTGTAAATACAATAAAGAGCTAGCATGACATAAAAATTTGTATGCACCACGGGTATTAATAGATGCATATGCCCTCTGACGATTTACAAACCCTCGGGCCAGAGACCCTCGGGTTTGTAACATCATCACCCTTTGTGCATTAACATCTATTTAATACCCTTGGTACATAAATAACTATTAAAGCCTGCAATTATCGTTTAAAATATAGGTTCGCAACTTCTTTATCAATATTCTAGGAAAAGACCTGTTAGTCCAGTCCTTAGGGGTTTGACGTCTAAAATCATACGAACAAGCCAAGTAGAATGAATCTTTCTCTCAGAAATAACGCTTAAAGCGACCGGGTATTTTAAATGCCAGTTACGCGCGCAAAATCAATTTGAAAGAAATTTTTTATCAACTCAACGGTAAGAATTCGATATCTTTTGATCAGACTGCCCTATCGACAAAACTCAAAATGCATTTTAAAGCTAAAGAGTGCAGCTTCCGTATGCAATTTTTGTATTCTACCACAAATTAAATCGATTTTTGCAATTTTTAAAACTTATAACATGAAATATCGATTTTAAGTTTTGTCAAACCAATATGAGGTTTTTCAGAAACGTCTAAAAACGCAGAATTTAAACTTTTAAAGTGCAACCGATTATATGTTAAGGGAAAGGTCTTCGTGAAGGCGTTATTGAGTGAAAGCAGCAGTAGTTATAATGTTTCGAAAAACTTAATATTCTAATTAAAAACGAGTACCTACTTTTAAATGTTTTAGGTCGTTTGTAATGTGAAAGTTTAAATTCAGCGTTTTTTAGGCACAATTTAATCATATTACATTTACTGCCAGAACTCAAAACCGAAATTTTATGGTATAGGTTTTAACGACTATGATCTAGCAATGGAAACTACATAGTAACCGGTCAATGAAAGTGATAAATTTTATTCAGGAGAATCACAAAAAATGGCAAAAATCGATAACGTATATTAATTTAACACCTTAATAAAAACTGACTATATTTGCGGCAAAATACAAAAGTTTTATACGAAAGTTCCACTATTCTCCATTAAAAAGGATTTCAATTTTTGTCGGTGAGACACTCTGATCAAAGATATCGAATTTTTATTGTCAAATTGATACACATTTTATTTAAAATTGTGAGGTATATAGGTTTTTAAGCAATTAATCAATTGTTTTTTTTTCAGTTTTGCCTCCTCTATGAGGAGTAGTTTTAGTGGAAAGCCGGGGGGTAAAAGTAGTAAACTTTATTGCATCTTTTTTGGAGTCCCAACATTGATATTCTCAGCAAAATTCAGCTTGTTCGTATAATTTTTAGAGGCTCAATAGTGTTTTCGTCTTTGACGACTGTATTGTCTTCTTTTGAAGAAAAAACTCGTGAAAAAAATTTCAATCGCAGCATTTAAAATCACTTCCTAGCCAGAGTCAAAAAATATTAAATAGTATAAAAATATAAACAATAATAAAAATAAGCACCAAAAGGTACTACACTGAAAGAAAAAATTAAGGCAGAAGAAAAACTAAAATTAAAAAAGCAACCTTAAATGTCGACAAATAAAAAGCAGTTTTTAAATGTGAATTAAATACATATTTCATATGAAATATTTATGCCAAACTGCTATACTCGATTTGGAAATGTACGACAGCACAGTTTTTATGACAGAATTTTATTTTGCAAGTAGCAAAATAAATCATAAATATCAATATTATCTTA